GCAAGCTTTCTCTGGCTGGTAATTTTATTAAAAAAATATTGCGCCCGGCTGTAGCATAATTTATCAAAGGTGTAACAATGTTAGTGCGCTGTGTAATGCAATTATACACACGCATTTATCGGAACGCCAGCGTACGTAACGACTTTTTCTCTTTCTCTCTCTCTTTCTCTTTCGGATCTCTCTCGGCATTTTTCGCTGTCGACGATATCATTGACGCGAAAAATAGATGCACGCAGTAGCGAGGAGATAACGCGGAAAAAAGGGCCAGCAGTCGACGGAATAGTGAGATATTTCATGTAAATTCCATCCGATTTTACGCAATCCACGCGCTGAAGGCCTCCGTGCAAATAAATATCCTCTGCAAGTGCAATACCTATGGAAATATTACACCGAGAATATGTTCGGCAGCGAATTGAAAATGAATAGAACATTGATATAAATATTTTATGCCCGTATTCGTTTAAATATCTTCTATTATTAAAGTCTTAGCAAGATATGGGTCGGCATTAATATTTCATTTTCGTTTTAAAGCTAATTTTATTCTAAAATTAACTCTGATCATTTAAATTCTCGACGACATTTTCTGGAAACTTTGGAAAAAATTGGACTGGTTAAGTCTAGTCTATTTGCATAAGAACTGCTGTTTTTAATAAGATATTTATCGCATATTATTGAGAAAATATCGAATAAATGTCGAGTAAACGGAAAGGTGTACCTATACAATCTCTCTACAATGATATTAAAACGATACTTTGTCACTCCCCCGTGTCGATTATCTCTTTGCGTGTGGCTTTATGTTACTTCTTGTGTGTGGATTATCACTATAAGAGAATTTTTCACAATCTCTTCCTATCATAATTTAATTGTTACGTCTTCGATAGAAATGTCGATTCTGTCGATGTTAATATATGGCATCGATATCGGTCGAGATGGTGAATGACTTTTACGTTTTCTTTTCCAATTGCTCTTCTTACAATTCTTTCGAAGTAATTGTAGTTTAAAGTAAACGGTCTGTTAATAAAAAGTAAGATTTGTAAGACACATACGAAACTGTTCAGTAATAAAAGACAGATATTGTGATAGCAGAGACATGAGACTGTTTTTCTCAACAGAAATTTGATTAGAGGTTTATTCGCTTAAAATTTTTTATATTAAGCAGTTAAGGATGAGCTAGAAACTAAATCTTTATTTAGATTAATTATTTTCCAGGGATATATAATAGATTGAAGCATTGAAATATTGTAGTTGTTTATATTAAAATTACAATGGCATTATTAATTCGACGAGACATTAATCAAACTCAATGACGTGAATTATTGACTCAATCATTCCCAAAGGGAATATTTCTTTGGATTGTAAGCTGCTAAGAATATCATTGGCCTCCTTCTCGTTAGGAGTAGTGTTTCATTCATATCGATGTTCGCTGTTATACTTTCTGCGGGTAGTTGAGCTAAAACATAAATTCTCTTTATGGAAGGGTATTGTTTGAGTTCCAATTTCTATCGTAATGACAAACATGGACGTCAGTTTACCGAGGAATTTGATTCACAATAGGATTGATTCGTCGAAGTCTGACACACCTCCGACATTATGACTTCTTATCGCTTAAACACTTTTGTTATTACCGCTTTGATTGCTCTTTTAGTTTTTTATGTGATTTCATAGCTTATCGGTGATAGTTACTTGTCTGTTATTTATCGGTTAATTAGTTTTTTTTAAGTAAAGATTATAAAATATAAAGACATCGAGCAAGATTTTTGCAATTTGCAATAAAATTTTTGTTTGAGAGATTAGAATTTAATAAATAAGTTAAGTATGTTGCGACATTTATATCTTATTTTCTTTTTCTTTTTTTTTTTTAAGCTGGTACATCTGATTTATCTTTTTATAATTTATTCAATATTCGTTAAATGTTTATATCGTAAATATAAGAAATTTATTTTCTAACAAGAAGAGTTAGTAAGTGCAAAATTAAAATGCTTTTTCCAGACGTAGACGTCTACATTAATGTTTCATATTCCCCTGCCTGTTAAATAATTTAGAAGCATTAATGCATTTAGCATTTCATTTGCTCGATTATCATACTTCTTGTTACTGTTCATGTCTTCTTACCCACATTTTAAGGAATTCCAGGACGCTACCGCGAATACCTCTTGTTGAATAGTTTCACGAGTTCACAAATCATTAAGTTGGCTTGTTGAGAAATTTCTTACTATATTAGATGTTTGTGGTAGCAACCGTGAGAATATGTGTGGAGCAGGTTGCTTGCTGATCAATGGCATGTTTATCGCATATATACATAATTGAAAAGATAATTTCAATTTCGATTATTTTATAAAATAGTATGTTAAAAATATATCATAATCATTTTATTTACTATTACTGAAATAACGATGCATATAAGGAGAAAAGAATTATTTAACATTACATATAAATATCATATGATATATGAATAAAATAATATCAGTTTTAATGAAACTTTTATTTAATATTTTAATTAATATTGTAGAAGCATTAGAAACAAATAAAATGAATTGTTTAAATATTATTTCTTTTATATGATTTTTTTTAAACAAATATTCTTTTAACATTTCTTCTGTACTTTCTGTATTAAGCGTGGACTTAAAGCGCATGTTTCGGACCTCATTAGAAAATTTACTACCCTCGTAGATATACACTGAAGTATACCGAGCGAACAATCTCCCTTGCATTGTTCGGTAATAAAATGGGCAGGCAGAAAACAAAGGGCAGGAAGATAGAAAAAAGTAAAGTGACGTATGATAAGATAAGCAAATAATGGAAATAAAACCCATATCGTTGCATAAACAATAACGATATGCTATTACAAAAATTGCCATTGTCATACAATTCTTGGACAAAATCGATTTCAAAGCGAATGATCTCTTTAAAACAAACCGCGGATATTGCTTCTATCCACTTCAAGTTGTTTTCTCTTTCTCTTTTTTTCCTTTCCTTCTCTTATCTTTCTTATTGTCTTTTGCTGTTATGTTTCCCATGATAATTGGCCCTATCCTTCTCGTTCAATTATACTCGCGACGGTTATCGGAATGTTTGAAAACAGCTTCTGACTAGGTTACATCAATATTTCGTATTTATATAATGATATTTGACATGACACAAATTGTATCCACAAAAAGATCTAGAAATCGTATTATTACGTTCAATATCAATACTGAAATTGAATAGAGGCTTTGTTATGATTTCCTGTACAATTGAATGTAAACTATTGTACATCCATATCTCATGAAATATTTAGTGAGATAATATTATCTTAACTTGTTACGATCTTCTAAGATATTATTTTAAAAATCCCCGATTCCTCGAGTAAGAAAGTAATACGTTTATATTTAAGAAGAATAAAAATATATTACGGCAAGAAAAGAGAGTCAGTACTTAAAAAAAAAAATCGTATAAAGAAGATGAATGCGAATGGTATATAACAATGTGAAAGTCTGTTTTCGTATCGTCTCTTTTCTTTTTCCATGAAATATGGCTAGCCAATTTACTACTAGAAAGCTTTATAGTAAGTATGATCTTGTCAGAAGACTGCTTTTTAAATGTTAAGAACATCTTTATTTCTTCGGTAATTAATGGCTGTGTGAAAAAAATATCTTTTTATATTAATTTGAGTTAATTTTAATTGGATTATGATTACATATTATCAGTTTTGATTATTTTAATAATTACAAATTTGTTTTATTATAGATACTGATATTCTGACAAATTTTGCAATAGAAATTTGCTGCATTACTGTTCTATTTTTTTTCTGTATGTGCATTTTCTGTATCTAATGATTATACATACCATTAGCAAATAAACGCGGCCTTGTGAAACTAAATGAATTTATATAATTGTTGATAATAATGAAGGATGAAGAAAAATTACCCAAAAATAAACTATAGTATGTTATTATTTTTTTTCTATTGCGATGCCAATAAAAAATGTAAAGATTATTACAAATCTTAAAATATTTTTAATATATTGTAGATAAACACAAACGACATATTTTTTGATAGTTTTTTTAAAATCAATTTTTAATTCATTTATATTTTATCTAATTATCTCATTGCGGATAGCAAACATTCTTACTGGTGACGTACATTTTTTGAGAAATCGATTGATTTCTTTCGAATACAAATTCGATGAGCTGTAAAATACGTTGTATAATCTGTATGAAATTTGCGATAGCGTTTTCTATATGAAGAGAGACTAGTTCTACAGTAGGCATTGCGTGCGGATGGCACGCGTAGCAAAGTGAAAGCGATAAATCTCGAAGCAAGGTCTCACACAAAATAACACTGCGCATTCTCGAGCACATGTGCTTTTAAATCGCGTGCTTAATATAGCCTATCAATGGTATTAATCTAAATTAGCAAAACCTGTAGTAATTATTATTTCAGAATTTTGAATTCCGCACTAATTTCGAAATTAAATTCTCTAAAATCCTATTAAAAGTCATATATTTAACAGTAGGACATAATTGCAGAAATGAGAGAGAGAGAGAGAGAGAGAGAGAGAGAGAGAGAGAGAGAGAGAAAATGGTGGATAAAATAATAATTAAAGTAATAAGTGAAATAAAAAAATTTTACTTAATTCTTTGTACATGGAACTAAATTTTTTAAAATTGAAAAAATACAGAAAAAAAATTAAATGTTACAATAACAAATTTAAATTAGATAGAAATAATAAAGAGTCTCGAAGGTATTTAAATTAAGACACAAACAAATTTTATCGGATGTTATTGTCGCGTTTGCGTGTTTATTGACATAACGCTTGCAAGTCACTATTGGTTAGCTGTATTCCGAAGAATTGCCTTGGTCAAGCTGTGCCTCCAAGTTTTGGACCAATCATCGTCCGGTTCTGTCAGCCGGAGTCAATCGTAGCGCACTCACACAGACGCGCGCAGCCAGCCTGCTTGCCTGCCGGCCGGTAGTAACGTTGCGTCGCATCTCGCAGGCTCCCACTTTCGTATCGCACGCCGTTGAGGTAGGACGGTACCTCGTATTCGGATCTACTGAAATTTAACGGTTGACATTTAATACACGCCGTGTAACTGTCAAAGTTTTCACGTGGTCTGGTGCTTACGACGTTATTACACGTCGATGTGCGTGCTTCGTTTTTAGCTTCACTCGCTTGATTTACATTAAAAGATTATCACGGAGAAAATCATTACATGTCAAGATCAATGTGTGATTCGAGATTCTTTTTATTTCGCAGGTACGTATAAGAAAGGTTAAAATAGGATGATATATAATGGCAAAAGAAATCCCGGTTACATTAGAACTTCGTGGATAAACTTAAGATTGATAAAACTTAGCTTACGGTTATTATTGTTTATTGTTATAAAATATTTACATTATATATTTTTTGGTATCGCGAAAAAATATAAAAATATATTTTTATTTCTATCTTTATTCAGAATATTTTTTATGTAATTAACAAATAAATACACAGTTCTTAAATTTATTTTGTTTATTATTTTATATACATATATTATTATCTGCAATGAATTGCTATATTAAATCGCTCATAATTGTTTTACTCTTATTATGCTAAAATATTATTATCAGAGCAAATTAACATTTAAATTTTATTAGAATAAGAATTCTCATTTGAATAGCTAAAAATATTTAATTTTCTGATAAAATTATTTATTTTATTTCTTTATGCGACTACAACAATAAATTATTTATTAGTGTCGTAAATAGCAGCTGTCGAATTTATATACGGAATATATCAAAAGTATATATACGTTATGTTAATGTAATGCTAAATAAGCTGCGCTTGAAATGATCTATGACGGAAATCATCTTATTGGCTGCTGGATGTGATTGTGTGCTTAAAAGTGCGATAGCGGAAATGTGCGCTCCGATTTTGCGTCGCATCGCGCGGTTTGTTTTTCTAGGTCAATCGAACGATGGAAAACAAGCTCTCGTGCGTTTCGACAATGTGCTTCTAAGAAATGAGCTTCCACTTAGCGAAAAACATTAAATGTGCATGAATAATACACGACAATTATTATGCTGGTGTTAACTTTGTATCCGATCGCAATCGTGGAATTTAAATTGCTTGAATAATACGATCGATAATCAGCATGTGGATTAAAAATTCAAATCTGAGTACAGTCTAACTCTCTTTAATTATCTCTCTCTCTTCCTTGTTCAAGATTCAATAAAAAATCGAAATTGCGTACTTTCATAGAAAATATTTGAAATAAGTTTCGTATAATATTAAAATGTTTAGGAATACATTTTGATGAATGTTTTATTCTCAGCTGCCATTATTACAATGTTTGACAAAGAATGTTGAGGAATTAATGTTTCTGAAATCTCGGTAATTAATGTCTCCGAAATTAAATTGATCAAATAAAGTCATAGGAAATGCTGAATCGAAGAGTTCTATCAATTACTTGAAAATTTAATTTATTAATTAAAGCATGTGCAGGTGAAATACAATTTAATTTTCGTTAAATTGCTTGCAATTAGGTCAGTAATTATTTAATCTTTTATACGGAAAAGTTAAATTGATTTAAATTGATTGAAATATGTTTCTTCCTACATTTAGTTTTACTATGTATATCATTCTTTCTCAAACATACGGTTTCCAACTTTTACTTAACAAGAATTTCGAATTATATAATATTGCATATGTAATATTAAGGATATACGAATCACTCAGAGAAACTCATTCCCTGGCTGAATAAAACTCGAACATAAAAATCCATGTTGAACAGAATTGAGGATCACGCGCTATTTTGCCGGTGTGTTTTCGGTTTACATCAGATTTATTTCATAACGTATACAATCTTTCAGCTTTACATACTATGTACTTGAATTAAATGTTACGGTAGAAGCGAGCTTTTGGCGTACTCTGTAAATTGTTATCCCTTGCACTTAGCCGCATCTGAAATGCTAATATCGAACGTTCACTGGTTCGTCGTCACGGTAAGCAGTGGTAAGTGACGACCCTTGTCGCCTATGTAAACGCATATCCGAGCTGTACACAATGTTGTCGCATAAATTTGTGATTAAATATACGCGTATATTGAAATGTGACTGAATTTCATTCGCGACCTCGACTTTAATTTCGTCACACGCGATATGTAGAAACAAAAATAGATAATGAAGAGACGATAGGCGATTAGACTTTCATTTTCATACAGCTAAGTGCGAACGACCGGTATTTTGCACTTAATGTCCAGTTCTATTTTCACGTTTTTTAGGTAGGAAATATACCTACCTTAGAAATACATACAGTAATGAAATATTAAGTAATTTGTTTCAAATATATTTTAAAAGTTCATATATATATTACAAATCTATCATAAGTTTATCACAAGCATTATTTATTTAAAATATATTCTAATAAGTTTGATACTTCAATCAAATATAATATATTAAATTAAAACCTTTCGGTTTGCTTATCACATAAAGTCACTTTTTTGATAAAATTTTATAATTAAAAAAAAAAAATTTTATTTTGAGTATATAATAATGGGTTTTTTTAAATGTGTGTGTAAGTATATTTTATAAAAATATTATTAAGAAAATATTTTTTATTAAAGATAAGTGTTATTTCAAAGAGAAGTAAATTGAATAATTAGTATTTTTAGAATTGAATAAATACTATTTTTAGAATTGAATAATTACTGTTTTTAGAATTGAATAATTACTGTTTTTAGAATTGAATAATTACTATTTTTAGTAGAATGATATTTTGCTGTGTGTGTTTTATATTGAAATAAAAGACGAGTTTGAAAATAATATTTTATACATTTAGCAAATTTATACTTATTTTTAAATAATTTTTATTAGTGTTATATGTCATATATAGCTAAATTCAGCACTTCAAATTTAAACGTATGGTATGTATTGGTTATAGAAAAATGCAGCTGTGCATGCTCAGTAAAATGTATTTAACAATAATGGTTTTATTGTTAATTTCATGCAGAATAATATAAAGAAGTAAGAAGTATCAAGTTTTGTTTTAGAACAAAGATATCAGATTCTGAAAATGTATCTGAACAGGCCACATGAATATGCAAAAATCTTGAATAATCACATAGGCAGATGGTTTAATCTAAATGTTTGTCGAGTCAGCTGATACTCGACGAAAATTGGAGCGTGAAACTAATAAACCCAAGATTAAACGTGAAAAACGTGCAAAGTCAGCCTCATTGTTTTTAACGTCAGTTTAATGTTTATAATTATTGACTTACACTTACGTCATTGTTGTTGCGTAAAAAACTCGGCTAAAATTATTCGATATTGCAAGAATATGAATATGTAGGAACAAAAATTATTTGCATAACTGCTAATTAATGCCAGTCAAGATTGTGTTTTTATATATTAAGAAAAATTATATAATACTAATAAATAATATACAATAGTACAATTACGATATCTTTGAAATTAAAAAATGATTTAATTGTATCGCATAATTTAAACGCAAATTTAGGAACTAAACATTATTAAAAATAAAACAGATTTTCATGTTTTCAATTTAAAACACATTTCAAAACTAAACTTTATCTGCCAAATAAAATATGTATTTTTAATAATTAAATACGTTTATGTATTTTTAAATAAAATACTTTGTATAATTAAATAATAAAAATAATTTTCACTGTTTTGTACGCTCGTTTAAAACTTTAAGTAATTAAAAGATGATAGAGGAACACGAAATAAAATATTTTGTTTTCTTAAAATTAAACACCTTCATCAATGAGTATATATAAACTTGTTTGTTACTTTTGAGACCACTTAGAATACTATAAATGTAATACAATTATGTGAATGAATTTCAAAAAGTTTATTCGTTTAATTAAAAAGTTATTCAGATGGTACTCTAGAACCTGTAAGGGATGACGAATCAGTGAATATAATTATCCTCACGACGCAATTTCTTCTTTAATAACTATTTGTTTTAAAACTTAGCCGTGCTTCGTCAAATTTGCGTAATGAATGCTGAAAGCAAAACTGTTTTCAATGGCTTGTTTCTATAGTTTTGTTATTTATACCGTAGTTTTAAAGTTTATATTAATATGTAAACTTGATTTGTTATATAATCTAGCTTTGACGTCACTCGATGACGACAACTCTATTCCTTTTAAGTGGTACAATACAGTGATAATAATCAATTTTCAAGGAAAGACTGAAATATAACTTGGTTATTAAATATAAAGTTTATTACTTTATTTTAGAAAGAAAGGAAGATAATGTGTAGGTACGTTATGAAATATTAATTATTAAATTAATTATTAAAATCAACTTATTTTATAACATACATACATAATTTAAAGTAAGATGATTTAATATTAACATTAAAAGATTTAATTGATAAGATTTATAACGTAAATGTTACGTTATATGTTTATATAACGTATCAACTCCAATATATTTTCGAAGTCAAGAACTAAATTAGTACGAAATATTCTTCTTAAAAAACCTACACTTCTTTTTGCGCTGTTTTTACGTGGTCAAAATATCTATGTATTATGTAATTCATCCATATCGTTTGCGCGTGTGTTTTGTATGCAGTGGAACGAACATGAAGTGACGAGATAGGTGCTTTTTGTTCAAACTCGGTTTCCTGAAAGTGTCAAAAGTACCGGTGAGACAATGATGTTAACAGATGTACCGTGAGTTGATTTGTTCGTTGAGAAAATGCGAGAAGTATATATCGTTTAATACTTACACACGTAATTTTATACGCCGTCACTGAATCGCATTTATTCGAAATATTATTTTGATTGCATTTTGGTTAGCAGATCATTTTTCATCGTGCGTTATTTATTAATGTTACAATTATCGCAATAAAATATGAAATCTGAGTATATCCTAATATGAGAGCGGCACTTTCGATCGAAGTTAGATAAACTAATATGTATATATACTTATATATTATTTAAATGAATTATAAAGAAATGAGACTGTTCATCTATTACTTTCAGATCTTTAACACAATCAATATAAACTAATTATTAATAATTACCCTAAATTTAAATTATCTTTTAAAATTTGTAAAAAAACTTATTGCAAAAAATATTATCTTGGTTGGGAATATAATTTATTTTAATTTCTTATAATAGTAGTAATACATAAACTAGATAATATTTAGCTTATACTGAGCTAATTTATACTAAGCCAACATGGAATTAAGAACTCGCTAAAGCAACTGGTTTTCTGATTGTTTTTTTCAGTCTGCATATTAATGGA